GGCTTTTTATCCCTGATCTACGCGAGGTAGAAGCGTTGGAGCCGTCACAATCCAGAGTAAAAACCGACGCACCCGAACAGATCCAACTCCACGACCCGACCGGCCCGCCGATCCACACGCCGATCTCTCCAACCTCGCCGCGCATGCGCACCGCCGATTTAGACGGAAGTCACGTGGGCTGCTCTGTCAGTTTCCGGAGAGATCCGTGAAATCCCGCAGAGCAAGTTCGGCGGAGTTTGGGGCGCTCCGTGGAGCGGGCGCTGCCAGAGATCTACGAGCGGAAGATGACCAACTTGAGCCAGATCTGCGAGCGGAATATGCGCGCTCCAAATGGAGCGCTTTTGGAGCGCTCGAGATCTGCGAGCGGAATTCACCATAAGCCACGACTTACTACGTTTGCATACGCACGCACAATATCCGGTGTTTCGGGAACCAAGGAAAGTGCCCCGGTCTTCGTTTTGTATCGCTCGAGAATGAGTATATTGTACGTTCGTGAAAAGTCAGATAATCGAAAACGCAAGCAGCGCGTTCGGTCGCGGCGTGATAGCATGAGATGAAGCTGCTCAGTCGAAACCGAAACTGAGTGGCCAACTAGTTCCCAGAGTGCACTGCGTGGTATTTCGCCGCGATGGGGCGCGTCGGTTTTGGAAGAAGTCCATTGTGCACAAAACGCCAAGCGCATGAGGCAAACCAGACAAGACGACGAACGTCGCGGGCGGAGAACGCCTAAAAAAGACGCAGGTACCATGCTGCTAAATTGGACAACTTTCATGGAGCATACGCTAAATTCTCTGTCACGTACGTCTGTGTCGTGTGCTAAACAGCTTCGCTGGTTATCCATCCACCTTCATAGATTAGAATGGCTCTTGAATTCGTTTTATTCTACTTATTTATTTGTACTGTTCACCCCCTAGCAGGGGAGGGGCTGTGACAGGTGTGGACAAAATATATAACATAAAACAGTCTGCATCGCCGCCAAGGAACCTGTAAAAAACGACACGCTTGTGAACCCTGCAGAGACGGGGAAGAGAAAAGAAACGGGCAGAACTGTGTTGTTGGCCGTTTTTTCTTTTTTTATCTTTTCTGTTTCAGGGTTTACAAGTATGTCGTTTCCTAACAAGCTCGCCTAAACTCTTTCCCGTCAAAAAAGAGAGAAAAAAAGCCTTTTTATAAACAAGCATTTGCTCACTGACTTATAAATCTTCACCAAAAAAGCAGAATAACGTAAAAAAACAAGAAAAAAAAACAACAAAAAAACAAGAAGTAACTAACTGTAACGGAAGTGATCGGTTGTGCTGGCAGCGAGTGGTTTTCCATAATCCCGTTCTTGTTCGTCTGCTTGCTTCGTTTCCATCTTCCGGTGTCTTGCGCAGTGCATTAGGGCGCTCATCCGTCTTCTCGGGAAGCCGGAAGAAAACATTAGCCGATTTACGTGCACCAGCGCCGAATCTACTCGCATTTCGGAAGACGCAAACCGCCCCTTCACTTTCTTCTCAGCTACTTCAAAAAACGCTCTTTGTCCTTTCTTTGGAGCGCAGCTCTTAGGCGCACGTTTCCAGCTTGAGCGACGTCGGCGTAACCGCGCGGTGCATTATGGGACGTTTCCCGTGATGCAACGCGTGGGGAGGAGGAGGGAGGGGGAGGTGAAGGGGGACGGGGTGGGAGGAGGAGGATAAGGGGGGACGAGGAGGAGCAGCAGGGAGGATGAGTAGGTGAGGAGAAGGGAAGATGGTATACCCTTCCCTCAGTACCCTTCCCTCCTCGTCCTCAAGATCTGCGCTCTAATTCGGTGTTACAGGGTGTTGTAAACGTCTTCCATTTTTTAAATTTTTTATTTTAACATTTTTTTAGAGGTTATTGGTAGTTTATTGAGCGCTTCGGAATCTACAATTTCGTCCTATCGACTTCAATGGCACACTTTATTCGCACGCGGCAGTGCCGTAAACGGAAAGCGGTCTGCGGCCATGCTATAGTACGTTCTTATGATATTGTACCAGGATAGAAGCAGATGCTCCTCCCACAAAGCCCTCTGCTCACCGTGATTGGTTGTTTCCTTCTTTCCACAGTTTCTCCTGCTAAGCTGAAGAGAGCGGAGGGCTTGTCCTGTTATTCTGTAACAGATTACAGTGAACTTTTCCCGCCAGTTTTCCTTGTGGGTTGCGCTAAGCGATCGTTTCTTAACGTCGCCGTTCACTTAGGTAGGACCAGACTTTTACAAGATATGCAAAAAATATTTTGGTTAAGTTACTGAATACCATGCGAAAAAGTAATTGAGTAGGATACTAAATACCCAAATTTGAGAAGTATCTGAGAAGAGTACTTAATATTAATAAAATTATCTCGTTACTTCCAAGATTCTGATTTACAAATTGTTATATATATATGAAAGGAAGCAATAAAAAAGTTTTATACAACAGGTTTTTTCATCCCTCCAATCAGTGTGAGAGAAAATATCTTTCTCTTGCCCCTACTCTTCACTTTCTTCTCGTCAAGAGATCCATAGAGTCAAAAGATTAATCGAGTCAAAACGTCCAATAAAGAATCTATTGACGCGTTTGACCTTTTGACTCGCCGACACGAGTCAAGAGGTCCAACGCGCCAAAAGACCCAAAGAGTCAGAAGATCCATGAAGATTCAAGAAATCCAATGAGCCAAAAGGTCCAACGAGTCAGAAGGTCCAGTAATGGATCTCTTGACTCGGCAGACCCGAGTTAAGAGATCCAATGTGGGTCAAGAGGTTCAATGATTCGAGAACTGCAGCGTCATATTGCAAGGGAGGTTCGTTGAAAGAAAATTCGTAATAGGGCAACTCGTAGCATGGTAGTTCGTCATACAGGGCAGTTCGTCAGGGCGATCCGTCACTAGGACAACTTGTCCAAAAACCGGAGATAATGTTTGAATATCTTCTTGCCCGCGTACTAGCTTTTTTAACGTTCGGTAATTTTTGGGACTGAGCTTCTGTGTAGTGTTCCGGTTAAAAAGTTTGTCTTTTGTTTCCTTTGTGAGTTGATAAATGTTTTAGTTCACCTTGAAAACACAGAATACAAAATTCTCAGGAGCACGACACAGCCACAGTTGCTGCGCATGCGCGACACAGAGAATGTAGCTCGTCCCCGTGCGCAACACAAACGTGACACCCCACAATTGCTTAGCAATTTGCCACCCCTTTTGTTTCTATTAGTGACTCAGAGATGTACCAAGATTTTGGTGGACAAGACATAATTAGTCAGTATATATTAACAATTTGACGAATTGTCATAGTGACGAACTACTTAATGACGCCTTGCAGACCACTTTTATACAAGAGATAAAACCGAGAGAAAGATTATTGAGGCGTTTTATATAAAAACGGCAGTTAACAAATGCTTTAACGCTTCTTCTCTTTATCTGCTAAAAAAAAAAAATCTTTTCTGTATGGTTGTTTGTAGGAGTGGTGATTGGTTGATGCAAGTCGGACAAATGAGTGTGTGTGTGTAATTGGCGATGGTTTCTAATAAAATCAGTTGAGAGTGAGCGCCTGTCCTGTCGTCTTTGCGGCACTATTGTCTTCGTTTTGTTCGCGCTTTTAACCTTTAATTTCTGTATGAACCAACTTGCCCAAACCCAAATTTGAATAAACTTGGCTAGAACCAGTCGAATCGAGCTGGCTAATAACAGGCCATTACCTTACCTCTTCAGAAGTACGAAGACGAAGACTGTGGGGTGTTTGGATTGAGTTTCCACAACGAAGGTATATATGAGCAGTTCAATGTAGTGTATGCAGGTAAGCTCTCGGCATTTCATAGCTGCATCTTGAGTGGTGGCACGTAGACGTTTTCATACTCATCACGTGCCACGAACCAATATCATATACCTTGCACTGATAACCTAATGAGAGCACCTGCACCGGGTCGGAATCGGTCCCCGTGCCGCAGAATAAGTAGGCGCGCGCATAAACTTAAACGCGGGAAAAAAAAAGCGCTCGGAATTTAACTCACGCACGACGTCCGTTCCTAAGCCTTTTCGCTTATACCTTCGGCGTGTACTTCGGCGGTTGCATACCGTGTCAGCGGGAAATCAAAAAAAAGTTGCACGCTGGTGCGGCGTAGCTTCCACAGTGCTGCAGCCGCCCCGCACAGCTCAACGTCCCTGCTGCGTAAGCACGTGGCTTCCTCTTGCCTCTCAGTCGCACACGCACTCTCGTACGAAGGAGACGCTTCACACGAAGCCACACGCTCGCACAAGTACACGTCTGACAGCGTTCGAGTACTACAGAGGCTGCGCTAGCCTTAAAATAGTTGACTCCCGGAACATGCGTATTCATAAAAAAAAAAAAAAAAATAAACAGTTTCTGAGTGAAAACAAGAGGCGTATATAATTTTGTGAGAATAATATTTTCCAAATTAAAGCTATGCGAAGATCAAGTTCGTCTGCTTCTTTTGCTGGGGTTGTGGTGACGTCAGAACGACGAGCTCTGATTGGCTCTGATTGAAGGATAGTGGGTAGACCCGAAGAAAGCTCGCTTTGAGGTCTACCTACTATCATTCCAATCAGAGCTCATCAGAGTTCGGCGTTCTGACGTCACCACAACTCCCGCAAAACACGCAGACGAACTTGAGCTCTGCACACTCCGTTTCACATTAAGTTCGACCGCAGCCAACGCTACAATCAGACGGAGCCAATTGCGCAGCGCCAAAAGTGCATTGTTACGTCGCTCGTCGTTTTTGTGCGCTTTCTATCGCCGGTGAAACAAGTCACGCACAGAAAAAAGCGCAGAATTATGCCACATTCACCGATTGGTACAGTCGGTGACAGCAAGGGCGAGGAGCGCCATGGCGATACAGGTTTAGCACGATCTTTTGATTGTCTCCATCGGTTCTTAGCGGTGGCTACGGTGGGATTTAATGGGAATTCGGAGTATGAATAAATTACATCAGATGTGCCGAGCCACAGTAGAGAGCCAGGGCTGGTTTCGCCGTGAAACCTTGGACGCTTGGTGGCTGGCGATATGAGGGCCCCAGCTACATCGAGCCATTTCTTTGTGGGCGTATAATCGTGCGACCTTCTGGCGGCCTTCGAGGATCGTTCGGCGTTGGCCTGAGATGGGTGGGGCTGGGAGTTGCGGACGTCCCCGGAACCAAGGAGGGACGTCGTGCGAACTGAGAATGCTTCTTGGCAACGTTCGCGCCCGGAGGTATGTCCCCCGCCCGCGCAGTGTCGGGCAAAGCGTACACGGCCAGAGCGGTCAGCGCACCGAACAAGCTCAGCAGGCCCCAGAACTGCTCCACGTGCGTCAGGAAGCCCAGTTCTCGAAGCAGGGTAGAAGCGATAGCGCCGAGTCTGCCGAAGAAGTAGACCGCGCACAAGCCCATACTGCGAACCACGGTGGGAAAGAGTTCTACGCTGTACGCGTAGAGAGCTATGACGGTCAAATCGAAGACAATATCCGCGCCCGTGTCCACTGGGAGCGCCAGAAACAACACGTGCTGGAAATCGGCCGTCGCGGCCTTCATTCCCGCGAGCGCCGATAAACCAAGCAGCAGCGCCAACAAGGTGACCCTCTGGCCACGCCTGGTCATGGACAGGTACACCAAGATGGCACCGATGACCTGGGAGACCAATGTGGCTGTGATCATCCAGATGTTGCTTAGATGGTGGGTGCCCCTGGGGCCGTAAAAGGCGAGCATGACGACGAACCAGCACCAGAAGACGATGACGATGTGGCTTCCGAGAACGCTCGTGCGCAGCATTTCTGCCACGCTGTAACCACTGACCCGGGTCCCGACTACGAGTTTGTAAAGGCGCCACTGCTGCTGGGCGTGGAGGATGCTGAGTCCGTTCATCTTGGCCATCCACATAATGAGGCGCTCTGCGACTTTGAATTCGAACGTGGCCAGGAGCCAACGCGGCGACTCGACTGTCAGGAGGAATGTGGACAGGAGCAGGGACGCCGGCAGCATCACGACCAGTTGCGTCAGAACCCAGTCGTAGACGAAGTAACCCACGATTTTGAGATAAAGCTGGGCTGCGATGGTGGCCGTGGCGATGGCGATCACGCCGTAGAGACACTGGCGTGACGGCGTCGACAGCTCGATAAGGAGCACGAAGCTAGTGATCTGGATCGTGCTCACCGACGCAGACACCCAGAAACGCAGTGCCACGAAGTACGTGAAGGAATTCACGAAACAGATGGCCGTCCCGGATATGAGCAAGGACAGGACGGACAGGTAGATGACCGGTCTGCGGCCCATCTTGTCCGACAGTTGGCCCATGATGGGCACAGCCGCCGCAGCGCCGCCCATGTAGACAACCGACGCGACCGCAACGAGCCACTGGTGCTCGCAGACGAGGTTCCAGTAGGTGACGATGGAACGGCCCTCCAGATCGTAATCCCATTCCTCACAGGGCACCTGTGTCCGGTTCACTGCGTCAATGGATAGCGGCGGTTCGTAGCGAACGCAGGTGTGCCAGTCGCCGCTGGCGTCGCGAGGTACCGCAATCTCGCGCCATTCTTCCGATGTCATGTTGGCGTACTCCAGAGGCTGCTTGCACCAGTGGTTCACGGGGCGGGCCACGACGCTGAGGAGAAGGTTGTGGCTCAAGAGCACAAATGCGGAAAGCGTGGCGACGAACAGGGCCATCCGTTGGATGCGACCGTGGCCGTAGACGATTGTCAGGTCGTTGGCTGGTCCGTGGGACATCGGATTCGCGTTCTTGGCGGTGCCCGTGGAGCCACGATCTTCAGCTGCTTCGCGTTTGTCGGAGTCGGGACGTCCAATGATCAGGCCGGAGACATAAGAGCTGGCGGCGGGCTTGCCAGTTGACGCCCTGTCCTTGTTGGCTCCTGGGACTTTGTCATCGTCGATTCCTCGTGCGTCTTGTTGAAGCTCCCTGGTGTCCGAAACGGCTGGAGCGCTCGCCAAAGGTTCCCGGCTCTTTTGTTGGTTTTTCTCGATCGAGCCCGTCTGTGAATGCATTTCGTAACCAGCGCTGGTAGAGAGGAGCGGCTGCTTGAGGAGGCTGTGCTGACGGTGCTGACGGGTCGTCGTCACCAAGCTTGTCTTGGACCGCGCGCAACCGTTCTTCTTGCTCTCTCGCGCTTCCTGAACGCGCTTCGGAATTTCTGATGATGCTCAGCTAGCCGTTGAACTGTGTATCATCAACACAGAGTTAATACCTCAAGTTAACAACTTGATATTTGGGTATGATTTATGACGAAAAATTAACCTGGAAATTGCATATTTACCAAACTGCCATCCGTTGAGCAAAAGCAATATGACGATTAACTCAAGGGGCGAGCATAGGCACAGGGTTGGTCGGCATGTAAAATAAGACCCCTCCTTATACTAGAGAAAAAAGCACTTAGTTTGTGCTTGGGCCTCCCACAATGCACAGCGAACAGTCTTCGTTACCTAGAATCTGGTATTCTACCCCTTATTACTCGATTCAAGATATTAACAGTTCAGCCCAAGTGAAAATTTTTGCAAGTGGTACCACTTGCAAGTGGTTTAGTGAAGAACTGCCATTAGCAAGTGGTATTTGCAAACAGTGCCATTTCCATATAGATGCACACAAACGAAGCCAGATGTTAGTCATTCTTGCTTTTATTTGCAAGTTGAGAGTGCTTGTAGAGCAAACGAACTTGGGATGATGAAGACTATAAATTCTCATAACCCGGGCGCTTTAGAGCTTTTCGGGAGTTCTGGATCTTTTGTGACAGGACTGTCGACATGTTAGTGATGACTTGCTGAACAGGCGCCTTGTTCTGGCGTCTAGAATGTTGCACTGTTTCTGCAAAGACAACAGAAAAATACCAATCTAATAACAGCTCATGGGGATACAGTCATATGATTGAACAGATTGAACTCATTTACCTATGACGAGGCCAAATTTGAAGGGACTCATTTACTTTCGTACCACCACATTTTTTTTGTCCTTCGGTGCCACCTGCCTTTAATAAGTCCTACGGGCAAGTCTCACGCGACCCCAAATCGCTTGCGCCATGTTTTTGGCTACCATGGTTGGTTTGGCCTGCTTCATTATTGTCCTCAGTGTACCCGGGGTCCTCGGTAGACCCGGCGGGTCAGGAAGGAACGTCCAGTCACCTGTGCTGCTCTCATGAGAGTCTTTATTCAAAAATGATGATGATGAAGAAGTAAGTGAATGAACACATAACATAGAAGAAGACAAAGTTATCGGAATGTATGAAAATATAACAATGAAGACACAATGCCCCCAACGGGTACACGCAGTACACGTGGCGAATGACGGCATAAGAAACGCAAGGCTCCCCTCCCTTGTTGTCTTCTTGGTTCGTTATTGGTTCTCCGGCGGTCATGTCGGCTAATGTCACATTCTCATTGGCTGCGAAGGTATTACGAGACGATCGAGACTCGCCATGCCCTGCGTTTCTTGAGCTCGAGCTCAAAAAAAGGTACTGTTGCAAAATTTTCAAAATTCAAATTTTCAATATTGGTAAAATTTCTAATGGCTTAGTGAATCTCGTATGAAAGATTTGTTCTCCCGCGTTTTGAGAAGACTGTACTGATGCAAAATATAGCATATTAATATGCATAGACCTTTGTCACACTTTATACATTTGCGAAATCTTGTCTAAATATTTGAATTGCGTCTGAAATAAGTGTGTATGTATCATTTTTTATTGAAAAATCTTTACATTCATTCATTGTCTCTGACCTTGACTTTTGTAACTCAAAGCAAAATATTTAAAACACCTGAAAGTTTTTGTAGATTGAACTTGGAGCAGCAGCTTTCACTTATTTTATTAGTGATATATGTGATTTTGCAAACTGATGCTATTTGTAACCCAAGTGGTACCACTTGACTTTCAAGTGGAACCACTTGACTTTCAAGTGGAACCACTTGACTTACAAGTGGTATCACTCGAAATACCACTTCATATTTTCATCTGGGAGACGTATTTAAATATTTTTGACATTGTCTTTTTAACCCGAGACTGAAAGACAACTTCTTCTGACCCAAAGGTCGTCATCTCAGAGGGCACCACTTTCACAAGTCAAATATGTGCAATAATTAGTTCACCCGTTACAGTTATCTCTTCACTAACGGGAAGTAAGGATTGTAGCAGGCTACATATTTGACAGTTCTTTGGGGCACCTTCCACTTTCTGTGATTCCAGGGATGTTACAGGATTACATTCAATCTTTTATAAACTTCCTTCTAACCGCAACTGAGGAGTTAGTGGCGAATGAGAGATCAGGGGTTGGCATCTATATCCTAAGCCTGGGTAACAGCTTTTCTGTACGCTTAATCGACAATACTCCGGTCTATGAAACGGAATTTCGCGCCATTGTCCTGGCACTGAGAAAAGTACCATTAAATATTCCGAAGGTCCTTATACTCACTGACCGTAAATTTGTGCACGATTCGCTGGCTGGAGGTGAAAATCACCTCTATCTTAAGTACTTTTGTGCTTTCGTGCCGACACATATTACAGCACTTAACGCAACCTGGTTAGCTAGCCATATATAGGTTTGATGCTTTGTTTTTATTAGCTGGATCCCACTCTGTTGCACTGCAGTGACCGTTACGCCCCTCCTTGCCACCTGAAGTCGCCATTCATCGTTGTTTTGCTTTTCTTTGTTCCTTTTCGTCCTCTTCTTGTTCCGACGTATTTGGAAGCCCTTCTCCGCTTTCCCGGTGATCGGACAGGAAGTCAAGAGGTCGATCAATTTACAAGGTCTATTAATAGATTTCTTGACGCGTTGAAATTTCTGACTCGTTAAATACGAATTAAGAGATCCAATGTGGGCTAAGAGGTCCAACTCGTGAAGAAATCCAACGTGTCGAAAGATCCATGGCGAGTCAAGAGGTCCAACGCGTCAAGAGGTCCAGCCAGCCAGGAGGTACAATAATGGATTTTGTGACGCATTGGATCTTTTGACTCGTTGGACCTCTTGACTCGGAATCCTCTTCACCCAGGGAGGCCCATTTAATAAAAAAAAAAAGCCAGTATTAAGGAGAGGGAACAAGCTTCTTTGTGCTAAATTCGGGGCGAGAGACAAGTCGCCATGGACACAAACGCGATGTCTCCGGAGCTGAATCTAACTGAAATAGGCACGGAAACCGAATTCCGGAGCTCATCTCTTCGCCTAAACGTAAAGCGGCACCAATATCTTGTAGGATAACGCCAGAAAAGCCATTTTAAACTGTATTTTCCGGACTACAGTTCGCACCCGGTGCATAGTACGCCGGCCGCACGCGGTACATAGTCAGCACCCGGTACATAGTCCGCACCTGTTGCATAGTCCGCTGTTAGAAGCCTGCTGTATTAGCTCACAAAGAAGCTTGCATCATACATTGATCAACATTAATATACTTCGGTACTCATAAAATCCTTCACGTCTTGTCACAATGAACGACCTTGCAGACCACTGCAGGAGATAAAACCGAGAGAAAGATTATAGGGGCGTTTTATATAAAAAAGACAGATGGACAAATGCGTTAGCGTGCCTTCTCCTTATCTGCTTTAAAAAATTAACTTTTCTGGATGGCTGCTTGTAAGGGTGGTGATTGGTTGTGATATAAGTCGGGCAAATGAGTGTGTGTATATAAGCGACGATGGTTTCTAATAAACTCAGTTGAGAGTTAGCACCGGTCCTGTCGTCTTTGTGACTTTATTGTCCTCGTTTTGTTCGCGCTTTTAACCTTTTAATTCAGTATGAACCTACTCGCCCAAACTCAAGTTTTAAGGCTGCGGTCCCACGGCAGCCATCTTGAACAAGGCGCGCTGGTTCAACCAATAGATGGCGACACGCACCGGTGTTGTGTAAATTTGCCGCTCGATGTGTATGCGTTTGTCTTTCAAGTAGCGTCAAATGGGCCAGTGCACAAGACCCGTGTCTCGAGCGGCTCTTGGAAGCAAATGGCGGCGCTGCATTGAAATGAGCGGCACTTGGAAGCGAATGGCGGCGGTGCAGCCGTTCGTGGCACGTGTCTTGCGCGTTTCCACAACAATAATTAACGATACTTGTAAAAAAAAAAAGAAAAAAAAACTTCATCTAGGGTTTTTAGTGTTGTGGCCGAAATGTTGGTTCACGGTGGGATGGCTCGAACACAGTCACGTTTCCATCGTGGCCTTGCTCGCGCCGCTGCCAGCTGTACTCAGTTGGCTCAGTAGCGTGGCCCAGCAAACTCGTGTATTCGAGGATGTCAGGCTGGGTAATAATTTTTCTCTGATATGGGGGTTGCGTTTCGGCGGTTACAACGGTTTTCGCAATAAATGGGGAGTTTTAGTAGATCGTTTTCAAAGGCACGCTACCTCTGCGGGCGCGCGCTTCAGAGCATGCATCAAAGTGGCAGCGCGAGCTCCCGCTAAAAATAGCGTGGACTGAATACACGATTTACTAAAACTCTCTAATATTATCAAAAAGGAACCAATTGTTGATTGACGTGTCAATAATCTGTCAATAAAAATTTCTTCTGCAGGAGTGCCCGCTCAGTAGATTCAATCTTCCAAAACACCATTGGTAGCTGACGTCTAGTGAAATGCTTTGCGATTTACGGTACTTACCTCTCCATTTTAATGACGACTGAAACGTGACGTCACAAAATATTCTTTCACGGGATCTGGAAGATGTAAAGGTTATTACATTATAGTTTCAAGAAAACAGACGCCGTTACAATATTTTCGGAAGTACCGACAGACAAGCAAGTTCAGCTTAGGAAGGATACGATGAAAAGTATAAGAATAAATAGGAAGACGTTTATTTGCAATGAAGACGATATATGAATGAGCGGTGTTTAGCGACGGCAAGCGATGAGCGTTCGGGAATTTATAAGTTCACATGATTGCTAACTATGGACATGCGGACAATAAAGACCTGTTTTGTCGAGAGAGAGAGAAAAAAAACTTTCTTTATTTATACGCCAAGGTCCGGCGCTCAGTTGTATTTAGTCACCTACCAGTCCTCACCCAACACGTTTTTCACGTGCT